GGTGTCCGGTTTAGAAAGTCCTTTCCTACACCTATATCTTGTAGGTTTTTCCCAAAGTTTTCTTCTAAGAGTTTCAGAGTTTCAGCCTTCAAATAGCTTTAGATATTTAAGTGACAATTGAATTTATTCTCATAATGGTTTTAATAGCTTTTGTATAATCTTCATCGCTATTATGAGATATAAAATGTATTTATCAAATCTGTAATCATTATGCCAAAAAATCTGAATTACTGTAATATTTTGTATATTGTTAAAACTGTAACTTTAATTGTAAAAAAAAAATTAAAATAAAAAAAGAAAAAAAAAGTTAAATAAATTTTTGACACAAGTCAAAAAAAAGTAATTAAAAAATAATTAAAAAAACAATTTAGCAACCATGAATAGTGCTGTGATAAGCATGGGTGTGTGAGGATCTTTACAGCAAGATGATACGATCATGATTCATTAGATATATACTTAGGCATGAAATGGCTAGATCATGGGGCTGGAGAGATGGCTCAGCAGTTAAGAGCACTGGCTGCTCTTGCAGAGCACCCAGGTTTGATTCCCAGAACCAAAATGGTGGCTACGAACCATCCTTAACTCCAGTTCCAGTGGAATTCGATGCTCTCTTCTGACCTCTTCCACACTGCACGACATGGGTGCACTCACATACATGCATGCAACACATAAAATAAAAAACAAACAAAATTTTAAATTTTTTTAAATTTAAAAAAGAAATGGCTAGATCATATAGAAGTCAAAAAGTCAAACAACAAAAGAGCAAAAATCCAGACACTGTGGAAGTCAGTATGAAGGTTCTTTTTTAAAAAAAAATTAAGACATTCTGTTCTCCTTCTAGACTTGGCACAGGTCTGCTTTTGCTCTTAGCACTCAGATCTCTGGACTACCTTTTCAGTCGAGACTCACCCACTATGTCCTGATCCCCTACACTCAGACCTGCTCAATTTTTCAGTCTAGTTTCTTAGAGCCTTCATAGGCTGTCCCTACCCACAACTAGCCTTTGTACTCCTGAAACCAGCCTTCTATCCTGGCTGTCCACAACTTCACCTTGCCTTGAATTGCCTAGACCAGCCTTCTTCCCTGGTAAGTCTGATCCCGCCCGGTGTGCCTTGACTCCCATACAAACTGAAAATCTCCAATTTCCTGGACCCCACCTCTGTTCTCCTTTTGGCCTTGGGCACAGGTCCACTTTTCTCTTAGCACCCCAGATCTGTGGACTACCCTCTTAACTCCACGTGGTGGTGAGCTTTCCAAATCACACAGTGTCTATCCCCCTATATTTGAGACCACCTACAGCCCCTCCCACTGCTGCAGGGTTAGGCTTATATCACCCGAATCCAGCCTCCAGCTAGCAAGATTCCCAAATTGCGCTGTGCCTGCTGACTAGAATGGCCCAGACTTTAGGAGGAAAACTGAGAGCATTTGATTCTCACTTGACTTGGGCCTCTGCTGGACTAGAGACATCTGGTCCTTCCATTATAAAATCAAAAGAGAGAATCTGTAGCCTAGACCAACCAGCTTTTCATACACAATAAGAAAACAACAAAGGCATATCAAGTAATCAAACAGAAACAGACTTAACCTCAACAAAAAAAGGCTCGAGTCTCACACCAGAATCAGAAACAACAAAAGAAATCCACATGTCAAAATCACAACAGAATATAATAATATGAAAAACCCAAATAATATATCTCCACCAGATACCAACAGTCCTATAGAAGAGTTCTAAGAGAACTCTCTAGAGATAACCCAGGAAACAAAATTTAAAAGAACAATCATAAACATAATCAAAGAATTCAAGGAATTTAAAGAACATATAAACAAATCAAAGAACTAAAGATAGGGATAAACTTCTGACTGACTTCACAAAAGAGTTAGAAATACTGAAGAAAA